TGATGATGGCATGATATATTTTTGATATGGTTCAAAATGCAGCCACAAATGCAGCTCATGATACTGGGTTTGTATTCCCTGAAGATTCTGTCGATATTTTTGTTGATTTGCGCTCTCACAACAATCGGCGTCACGGCGGCATTGGCTCTGGTGGACGTAGTATTTTCGAAGCTGATCTTGGTAATGGTGGTCTTTTGCGTATGGACAATGGAATTATTGTTGCACATCCAGATGATCTCGATTTGCTGGCTCCGATGGGCCGTGGATCTGCCATACAGCGCGGCACTCCAGATAATATGACCCATCCACTTTTGGTCAATACTGCTTCTGCTGGCGTATCTGGCATAGATATGGGGATTCCACATGGCATAAGTGGACACGGTCATCGTGATCCTCGTGATCCACAAGCCATGTATGATGGGTTCAATGGCAATCCTCTTCATTTCCTTCAACACATGCTGCATAATGGCATGTCGGGAATGGGAGGTGCTGGCATGCGTCGTAACGTCGAGGCTGCAATTGCTGGCGCCGGTGATTCACTCCAAGAACTCACTAATCTTCGACGGGCATTTGAAGCTTTTGAACAAGGAATGGGTGGTAGTTTAGCTGGAGGCATGGTTGGCGTTCAGGCTGATGCCTCTGGCGTTTCTGGTGCTGTTGGCACTTCTAGATCCATCACCACTGCAGCTGATACAAAAAGCACTGCAAATACTACAAAGATCTCTAAAGACGAAACAGCCTTTCCTACAATGGTTGAACGACTGGCGTTTGTGCATAATCACACCATTGCATTAACAAACAGCAGATGGAAGCAAGAGGTGCGCACTATTTACGGACCTCAATGTGTTGACAAGGCGCTGCGGTGCTCTAATTCTATTTTAAACATGTTGGTTCCAGACGCTTTAGAAGTCGAACGTATTGCTAAAGAAAAGGCCGAGACTGAGCGAATTGAGCGTGCCAAGATTGAAGAAGCTAAACGAGCCGAAGATGAAGCAAAGAAGGCTAAGGAGGAAGCTGAAAAGATTGCAGCTGAAAAGGAGGCTGAAGCTGCGCGTGTTGCAGCTGAAGCGGCTGTTGGTTTGGCTGAATCGGCAGCTTCCAGTCAGGAAACTGTTTCCGACATGGCTGTGGATGGAGCTATCGAGTCTAGTGAAATACCTACGTCATCAGCCGATGCTCTACCTGAAGTTTCAAATGCCGTGGCAACTGAACCAGAGCGCATCATCATCACTATCCATGGCAATCCTGTGGATATTACTGGTACAGGGATCGATATTACTTTCCTTGAAGCACTTCCCGACGATCTGCGACAAGAAGTCATCAATGAGCATCTTGAAGAACAGCGTCGAACACTTCAGCCTACAAGCATTCCTACTGATCTCAATTCTGAATTTCTGGAGGCGCTACCATTTGAGATTCGCGAAGAGTTGCTTAGACATGAGCGACTTGAAGCTGATCGTCGTCAACGCGAAGCTCAGCAACTTTCCGAACTTACCGCTTCCAGTACTGCAGCACATGAACCTACTCTGCCTGCTGCTGCCGATACAATTACACTGCTGGAAGCACTAGAGCCTGATTTACGTACTGCGTTTCCTCGTCGAAGACTGCCGGTTTTGCGGAATAGTGCAGCTCCAACTGCAGCCATTACTGTTCCCTCCAACAAGTCATCACAACGAGAAAGTGTTCAGCTCGTGGACAAGTCTGGTGTTGTTAATTTACTTCGACTTATTTTTGTTCCCGAGGCAGTTGGACGTCAAGGCCTGACCAATGTCTTTATTAATCTCAACGAAAATAGCAAGACGCGTGCTGAGATCCTTACACTTTTGCTGGGAGTCCTGGCTGATTCTAGTGCCGAGGTGGCTGTTGTAGATCGTGGACTGTCGCAACTATCTATAAAAAGTAAAGGAAAGTTGCCTCAGGCTTCCCAGTCTGTCGACCGTCAATCCAGCCGCAAATCTACAAGTAGCTCGATTATCAGTGCAGCTGTACGCGGGACACATTCTATTCCCAACTTGGTTGCGCAGCGCTCACTCGAAACTTTGCTACATCTAATTAGCTCAAATCCGGATGTTGTCAGATTCTTTTTAACTGAAAATGATACTCTGGATGCCCATATTTCTCGTTCGTTTAGGACACCTAGCAAAAAGGGTAAAGGCAAAGAAAAGGAAAGACACCCCACTCCACAATTCCGATACCCCGTTGTTGTTCTTATGAGTTTACTTGAGCGACCTTCATTTTTAGAGAATCCTAGTGTTATGGAACAGCTCATGCAAGTCTTGACTAGTATTTTGAGGTTATTGCCCGTGATATATAAAAAGAATCTTTTGTTAAAGCAAACCGAGATTACCGATGCTGTTCTTGCTGCTGCCGCCGCCAACAAAATTGCAAGCGAAAGCGATGCTGCTGCCACAACTACAGCACCCCTATCGACTGCCACCACAGTTGATCCGTCGCCGTCAAAACCGGCTGGACCTGAAGCTACTAGTTCTACTGACAAGTCTGCAACCACTTCGACTGAGGTTGTACTTAAAACCCCTCAGATTCCTGACCATTATGTTCGTAGTGTCACGAACGTTCTCAAGGATGGCGTTTGTTCTAGCAAAACATTCCATTTTTCTCTGTTGGTTATTCAGTACCTCACATCCATTCCGGAAAACTACAGTATTATTTCCAAGGAGCTTGTGAGTCTTTCTCAGCAACTCAGTGATTCTATTATCCCTGATCTCATTGAGTTGGCTAAAGCAGCCAAGGCAGCACAGTCATCTACAGATATCTTTACCACGAGCTTATCTCATTTTTCATCGCCGATTGCTCATCAGTCCAAGTTGTTGCGGTTGCTGAAAACTATTGATTTCATGTGTTCTAAAGCTCCTACGCCGGCTTCCCCCGTAGCAACTGCAACCACATCTAATGATGCAGCTGCGGTAAAGACTGCTACTGATGCGCCTGCCACCAAGCCTACCTATCTTACTTTAGCTGAGGTGTGCGAGCAATTTAACTTTGTTTCGCTGTGGAGCGAACTTTCACAGTGCCTTTACTGGATTGAACAAAAGTCTGATTTGATGCATGTTGCAACTGTGCTCCTTCCCCTTATCGAGTCATTCATGGTTGTTTCTCGGCCTGTAGTAATGGCGAAAAAGCCTACTCCGACTACTGGATCTAATCTGGTCACATCTTCATCTGCTGGTTCGTTGCTTTTAAATTTGCACACACAATCATCTACAGGTGCACTTCCTGCCGGAGGTCGTTTGTCTGTTCGTCAGCAGTCTGATGTTGCTCTAATCGATCGCGAGTCGTTCTCAGTATTTACCGAAAGCCACAAAAAAATTCTCAACACTATGGTCCGTAATAATCCATCCCTCATGAATGGGTCTTTTTCACTGCTTGTGCATAACCCCAAGGTTCTTGAATTTGATAATAAGCGTACCTTTTTCACTCAGCAGCTTCACAAAAAAACCAATACTCATCGTGATCATTATGGCTCCTTGCCCATCAATGTGCGCCGACAATATGTGTTTGAGGATTCATTCCATCAGCTTTCTGGCCGATCTGGCGATGAACTCAAATATAGTAAACTGGCGGTGCGATTCCATGAAGAAGAAGGTATTGATGCTGGCGGCGTTGCTCGTGAGTGGTTCTCTGTGCTTGCCAGGCAAATGTTTAATCCTGACTATGCTCTTTTCCGTCCTTCTGCTGCCGACAAGGTCACCTATCAACCCAACCGCGCATCCGGTGTCAACCCAGATCATTTGCATTACTTTAAATTTGTTGGCTGTATCATTGGCAAAGCTATTTATGATGGCCGTTTGCTGGATGCTTACTTCACTAGATCCTTTTACAAGTGCATTCTTGGTATACAGGTGGATTACAAGGATATGGAGGCGATTGATCCTGGATTCCACAAATCACTAGAGTGGATTTTGCAAAACGACATTGAGGATGTGTTGGATTTAACGTTTAGTACCGAGGTGGATGATTTTGGACGCCAGCGGATCATTGATCTTAAACCGAATGGCCGCAACATTACTGTAACAGATGAAAACAAGGTCGAGTATGTCAAGCTCATTACTGAGCAGCGATTAGTTGTAGCCATCAAGGACCAGATCCATGCCTTTTTAGCCGGGTTTAACCAAGTTATTCCAGCAGATCTAGTTCGTATTTTCAACGAGCAGGAGCTTGAGTTGTTGATTTCTGGTATGCCAGACATTGACATTGATGACTGGAAAAACAATACCGAATATCAAAACTACACAGCATCGTCTCCACAAGTGCAATGGTTTTGGCGAGCAGTGCGTAGTTTTTCACAAGAAGAGAGAGCAAAGCTGATTCAGTTTGCAACTGGAACAAGTAAAGTACCACTCGAAGGGTTCAAAGCTTTAGAGGGATCTACCGGTGTGCAAAAGTTCCAAATTCATAAAGAATTCTCTGATGTTTCTCGCTTGCCAAGTGCCCACACATGGTAATTATATATATATTTGACTGTTTGAATGCAGCTCTTACTGACATTTTTGATTATTATTATAGTTTCAATCAAATCGATTTACCGCAGTATGACTCTTATGAACAACTTCGGTCAATGTTACTGACAGCGATTTCGGAGTGTGGAACTGGATTTGGGTTTGCTTAATTTGATATCAAGGCTACTTTATTACTACTTCATTTTCCATAACTCTTTACTTGCTCTGAAAGAGCAGAACAACTATTCTTGCTTTTTTCAAACCAATAAAGCCTTTTCGTATTCTATTTTAATTGAGATTGTTGTTTTTTAAATTGTATTTTGAAGGTTAAACTCGATGCACTTGTTTGATGTTCACCTTGGACGCGACTATTTGTTCAGATGCACTTGGAAATCTTGCCTGATAGTATTCAAACTTGGATATAGACCAACTACAAACAAACATGTCATCTCCGACCATTGCAGCGGCCATGGATATCACCAGTGTCGACTTTGTAGCAGATGCTCACGAGTCGGCAGTTCTTCGTTTGGTAGATATGCTCCGCCATCCAGATGACTTGACCAACAAACTCTCCCTTGCACGTAAAAAAGTAGCCATGGAGCGAGCATCTGTTGAGGCCCAGTTGAAAACTGTCATGGAAGGCCAGCTTGATGGTACACAAAAGGGCATTGACGCTCTGCAAACTTGTCGGGTCGAGACGGCTGCCATGAAAGAGTCTTTGGCTAGAATGGATGCTTTATGCGGTGGACCCACAAATAACATCAAGAATTATTCACACATTAAACGGGTATGTGTTGTCATCTTTCCAGTCACTCAAATCAAATATAAAATGCATACCTACACAATCCGACTCGAATATAAATATCCCATCCATTCCTCTCAATACTCAACTCCATGTCTACATTACATCTAGATATCGCGAACCCATCAAAACTTTGTCACGACAAAAGCCATGATTGAGCAGTTTCAAAAAATCAATAACCAGCTTGCTCGTATTCAAAAGCTGTTGGATGAAGATTCGGTCAAAACAATTGGCACTGCAGAAAGTCTTTTGTTTGTGCACTACCATCTCCAGCAGTTGTCAACATTCCGCGACGTTACTCTCGTTAAAGCCCGGGGGTGTTCATCCGACGTGATCAATACTCTTAATGCCATGTTTAAAAAAATTGATCAGATTGAGTACAAGTTTGATTTGTATGTGTGGAATTTGGCAAAGGTGACCATTGAACTGGTGAAATCTGGCCATGTGTCAGCTGTGGTGCGACTAGTCAAAATCATCGAGGCTGAAGAACGTGCAGATGAATGTGTAGTGATTGTTGGAGATGATGGTTTAGATCATTTACATGAAAGTCGATCAAAGACGATCAAAGGATACCGTATCAGGTATTTCGATGTATTGCGCGAAAGTATCCAAGAGGAAATGGCAATCCTGTACCAAGCAAATCAAATGAATACTGCAGAACTCCTCAAGGCAGCCGAAAGTGTGGTGGATACATTGATTATTGTCCATGATGATGTCGTTCCACTTTTTCCCAAGCGATACAACATTTTCCACTTTTTTGTTCTCGAGTACCATCGCAATATATACGAGATGGTTAAAAAGATAAGCGAGGGAAACATGGATCCATCTACCATTCTTATGCTAATCAAATGGGTGCGCGATTACTACAACAGCATGAGTGCACGATTGGATGTCAGTGAGGATTTACTGGAACCCAAATTGCTCGATGGACGAGAAGAAGAACTCATGAGCAGTTATATCACACTAGTGCGCTCTAAACTGTCTGAATGGCTTTCAAATATTCTTCATTCAGAAACCATTGATTTTCTTGAACGTCGTAACCCACCAGAAATGGATGGAACTGGACAGTATCTACTTACAGGAAGTGTTATTATTTTCCAAATGTTTAACCAGCAATTGGATGTGGTTGCTACATCATCAAAAGGACAACTTTTGCATGATGTCGTTATGGAGTGCTGCAATACTCTGGACGAGTTTCAAACCGCATGGCTCAAGATTTTTGATCAAGAGTATGCAAAGTTTGTTGCCAAATCCAACGATCTTGCCGAAGGATTAGTCGAATATGTTATGGCGTTAGCAAACGATTCGCTTCGCAGCAACGAGTTTTCCGAAACAATCAGTCTAAGACTTGAAGGTATGGCCGATGAAACTGTCCGTCAAGCCATTACAACCCGGATCCGGACTACCATGGATGGGTTTATGAAAATCACGAAAAAATGCCAATTGGTTCTTGTCGACATCATCATGAGTGATATTCTCCCTGCGCTCAATTTTCTTCACTGCCCACAATGGTACGAGCAAGATATTATGAGACTGATTGTTGGCACATTTGATGACTATGGGGACGATTTTCAGCGACATCTTTCGGATTACGTGTATGGCAAAGTTGGAACTGAACTTCTCGACAGGTTTCTCTTGTCTTATGTCGAGTCCTTTAAAAACAAAAATGCCAAATTCAAGATGCCACATGCACCCGATCGTATGCGTTCTGATTTAGAACTTGTCACGGCGTATTTCGTAAAAACCAAAAATGCCAAACGAGCCAAAGCTAGTTTTGAAGTCATTGAAAAGATTATTGCATTGATTGATTCAAATCCACGTATGGTGTTTTTGGATTTTTATGCATTGTGGAAAGCGTATCCTGATGTTCCCTTGGAATATATTGAAAAGTTATTAACAAAACGAGACGATCTGGAAAAGAATGTGTTGAGAGAGATTATGGAAAGCTGTCGAACTAAAGCGAACGAGGAAAGAGCAGCAGGAGAATGCGTCAAGACAACATTATTTTCCAAGATTTCCATGAAATAAATCTTTAAATCATGTTGGATTACATACGATATGATAGCAAACTCGATTATTGGAATTGAATTTTGCCCATTTAAATCGAGTTGGAAGTCGACTTTGAAGTATATTTTCTTTCTTACATTGAAATTCAACATGTTTAGAGTGAGAACAGCAGCAGTTTCGGGAGTTGTCTGGACATGAACAGTAGTTTGGCTAACTGTTTTATGTTTATTTTATAGGGAAAACTATCCCAGCAGTCGCATACACCAGAGCAGAATAGTACGGAACAGTTGACGTCTGGACAAACTTTTAATCCTCGGACATCTGCAATTGATGTGTCTAGAGATGTGAATGACCACCGCACTCATAGTCTACATACTTACAGTCATGGTGGACAGCCGTCTTTGCAATCGCAAGTAGGATTCAAAAAGTTCAAACCGGCTGTTATTGTCAAGTCACCTTTCACTCCCATCAGTTACAGTAGCAATCCTGTGAGTTGTCCGATTTGATTCATTGTCAAAATAGATAAGCGCTGATCTCACTATGGATTGGTACAAGACACTAACTTGTATGAGTGTTGTGAATCCATTTAGCAGCTGTTTGAACAAGGCTCATTAGTTCATTCTCCATTGAATGCAAAAGTAAATAGTTTGGCACCATCGGCTGAATATGCACCGTCGTGTACGAATGATGACCACAGCCGGACAAATAATAGTAGGATCGACACTGCAGATGCCTTACCACAGGAAATGTATGGTTTTGATGATGACTTTGATGCAGAAATGCTCAAGGCATTGGGCGATGCTGAAGAGAGTTTACCACCATTTACTCAGATACATGAAAACAGTCAACTAAAACTTGCTAATCAACAGCAACATAATCATCATACTTTAATGAGATCCAACACTACTGTTTCAACTCCTTTAATATCAGCAGATCTTTCATCTGTGCCAACACTTGTAGAAATGAGCAACTCGTTTGTACACGAGCAATCTTGTACTTTGCTTAATCAAACACAGATATCTCATAGCGTGGAAAAATTGTCCAATCCTATCATCAGTGATATTTCAACATCGCTTGTTCCACAAACTCCTACTCCAAAACCAACTAGCGGACATATTCTTGGATCAGTCACGCCCATTTCAGCAATTGATCAAACGCCTGTTAAAAGATCAATGCATTTCACCACACATACTCCCAATATACCAGTATCAACTGGTAGTATGATTGAAAAAAAAAGTATACCATCTGTTTTGACTCAGTTGCCGCATCAGCCAAAATCACTGCCTGCATCAACAGAACCATCACAATTGTTTCCATCAACTGGGTCATTTGCATTCAACAGGAAAAAATCTCCATTTGCACATACTCCATTAAAAGCAAATCAAGTTTGTGAGGTCGATAAGTCTGCTTCAGTGTCTAGTCCGTCGCCAGTAGCTTTTTTGAGAGAAGCAAACACTGCTCATAGAGTAACATCTGGCTATAATTCTATTCGATCGAGTCCTCTTATAAATTCTCGAAGCGTAAAGCGGAAATCTACAATTCCAGGTCCTGCAGGTGCATTGGTAAAGTATATATTCATTACCGCTACATTTGGTCATCAATGCTTCAAACAGCACAATGTCACATCAAGGTCAGTTGGTTAATAATTTAAATTGGGTTGAATTTTGGAGATAGATGGATATGTTGGAGCAACAGCATGTGCCTGAAAATAGTCAAAGTACACCATCGCAACGTCAAGAAAAGCGGGCACGGACGCGGGCAGAATGCAGTGCTCATGATCAAGATTTTATATCCACAGCATGGATGAACATGCGACAAGTGTTTCCTGAATACGATTGTATGTATTATTCTGCATGGGTTTGTCTTGTATTGGTGACCATCTTGAAAGTATGGCTGGTTGATTTTATTTTGTAATGGCTTGAATGGATTATTAGCCAAACTTCATGGTATTGCAGCTGCATTGTCGGGAAAACATGCAAGCGAAGATAGTAAAATCAATCAACTTGTTGTTTTGATTCGAGAAGTAGACAAAAGTGATTTAGATGCAGGTGCACTGTTTAAAGATCCATCCGGTAAGACCATAACGTGACTCGAAATTGTCTTGCTTATCATTCATCGAGTGCATTGATTACAAACCATTCATTAACACTTTGGGTGATGCTTTAGGTGAGATTAGGGGAACAATCCACAGAGATGTATTTGAAACATTTCCTGACGCTTTGGTCCCAGGAGCAGTATTAGAATTAAATTCGGTAAGATCATGAGCATTTTGCTTTAAAGTTTTCTATTTTCGATACTCATCTCATTTATGTTGTAGGTATCGATATTTAAGCCTACACGTAGATCCAGGTACCTCAATGTCACAATAGCGAATATTGGCAGTGTGTTTACATTAATGGGAGATCCTCCACGGCTATGGAAAGACTCACTGCCTGCTTCATCTGTGCATATCAGTACCATATCCAACTCGCATACTACATCATCGCTTCAGAGATAACCTCATTGTTTCAAGTGAGAAGCTGATGCATACATAGTGTTTTGTATGATGCTCTTGTGAGTATTTATGTCTTATAGGGTTTAGCCCTACACTTGGCAACAATAGAAACAGAGCGTTAATCATTTACTTTTCTCTTGTATTCCTGTAAAGATTTTCACTTTAATTGTATGTGAAAATACAAGTCTCAGTAAAGTGATGTAGGATTTTGATATCTTGTTGGTCATGTAAACAATAGTGGTGTTTGAAACAAAAGTTGTATACATATTGAGTGAGTGATAGTATAGGTATGAAGGTTTCATTATTTGATGGATTAAAAGGTCAAGAAATGCGTAAAGTATAGGTCAATGCTTAAAAATGATATTTCTTCAAGTAGATTACTTTCTAGATGTCGATGCCGTCACTTTGCGATGATCTCTGCGACTTAAATGCTGCTGGAATATAAAATATCAAATAAACATATACATTGATCAGACATGAAGGCATCAACGGATAGAATCAGCAACGTCTAATCTCAGTGCAATGCTAGTCAGTAGACTTACTGAAAGTTCTTGTGATGAATACAATTCTATGATTTCTTCCATTACCGCTAAACAGTGTTCAAAAATAGTATTGAGTATAACCAATCAGCCTTGTAAAACCAATGCCAATGTATGTACCTTCAACTTTTGAATGATCGCATTTACACAATTCCCAAAATTTTTGTTCTGATACTCCTTCACCATCTGGATCGTCTAATATGCGGATGGCAAACAATAGTGAGCCTGCAGCAATACAACTTGGAGTAGATCTAACACATAGCGTGGTTCGTAAAATGTCATTGACAATACTCCATGCAATTTGCCTTAATTGTTTTGTAACTAGATTTAACATCGAATCCAAAGATTAATTTTCAAGATATAGAACACAGTGGATGACAAGTATAGGGAAATTTACCATTTAGTTCAGTTCCCATACGCATAAGTATATCGTAAGGAGTATCTACATTTAGATCAAAGCACAACGAGGTCAAAACTATCTCTTCGTGATACAGAATGGTTTCCTGCCATCGTCGAAACTCTTTTGATCCATCAATAATAGGGAGAGAATCGTCTTTATGAGACTTTCGAGCGCATGCTATTATAAGATCTTTGAATCGCTTTGGGGTTTCATGAATTTTGCATGCAAGAAACAGACATGCAGCACCCACATCCTAATTCACATGTTTAAAAGGCATGTTAGCAGCGGCTAGACTATTTTATTGCACTAGCAACTTACATGAAAGTCAAAGTCCTTTAAAGAGTTTCTTAAATAGAATCTATGCAACAAGACACATGCGATTCCGATAGAAGTTTGAGTGCTAAATGTAAACCCATGCACAAGGAAATAAAAGTATGTTTAGTTGATCAACCATGGATATCATTGCAGTTGTATTCAGGTAAAATGAAATACTAATAAAGATGCAAAGTACATAATAAGCAGCCAATCTCATGAAATGATGGATAACATCAGGATAGTTGAACCCAATATCTGAGTTACAATGGATGAATCTGGTATCAAATTTACAGATCGTAGTGTATGACTAGCAAAAAGAAGAATGATTCCAGTTCAAAACTATAGTTTGTTGCATCATATGATGGTTGCAGTTGTTGAAGCAATAAAGCATGTACTGAACAAGCAGTGTAGTAGAAAAAACGAGTATTCAACCATTGCATATTCCGAGAGACTGCAAGATAAATACAAGCGATCCATTGGCATGAATATGGCCGTAAAACACATTGAATACATGCAAACTCACACATTAATGGCCATCCCAACTGTAGCCATGAACATGCAACCCTTCATTCTACAGCTGGTTTCTTTGACAAAAGTGAATCCAGCATTTATAGATGGACTGTTTTGCATATCTGCCAAGGATACCAGCCAGTTGTTTTGATGGAGTGGAGTGGATGGTCTCTGTACATGAGTTGGAGTACGACGAGGAGTATGTTCCCTATGACTAGAGTAGCTTCTACTAGTATGATTGAAGTTGTTGGATCTGGACTCTCCTGTGCCAGAATAAGAGTTACTGTTGTTCCTGCTATATCCATCTCTGCTGATTTTGTTTCCATAAGAACCGTCGTAGTGACTGCTACTGGACATATTGGAAGTGGTATTATTAGTCTTGTGGGGAGGAGAGGCTAGTTTCTGATGACCAGCTATTCGAATGGGACCTCCACCTGTATGAGCTGGAGTAGTGCTGTTGCTGGTACTGTGATTGCTAAGACTGCTGTAGCTGTGAGTAGAAGCCTCTCTGCGAGTTGCTGATGCAGTATAACCATTGCTGCTATTAGGCCTGTTGGCTTGAGAGGACTGTCGATGTCTAGCAGAGCTATAACCTTTAAGACGGGAGGCAGAACCATACGAGACTTTATCTAAAGGATCACTTGAGACACTAGCACTGGAGGGGAGTCTACTCCCATTCCTATCATGCATGTCTGCAGTAGTAGTATTCATGTGTCTGCTGTCAGATCTTACAATAGTTTAGTCGTCAGTAGAAATCATTCAAACTAGAAGCTTGAATTGGCTGCTGTTGGCTTTGGTTTTCTTCTGCATCTCAAATACTATTCATCAAACCCATCAAATCCTACTCATCAAATCCACCAAATCCTATTCATCAAACTCACCAAATCCTACTCATCAAACCCATCAAATCCTACTCATCAAACCCACCAAATCCTACTCACTAAACTCACCAAATCCTACTCATCAAATCCATCAAATCCTATTCTTCTTGTTTATTCTAGACTCAAATCTCATGAAAATGTCACTACCGTCAACATCTCCATATCAAGTGTTTGATATACTTGAAAGCCCAAAACACCTGATCCGTTAGATACCGAGTTAGTTTGTTTTGAATGCGATTGGGTTCTAAAAGTATTTCGGGTGGTGGCAAAAATATGATGATATTGAAGATACATGAAAAGCCTCATTCGTTGTTATCAATATGCTTTTTATTGTCTCGGTTTTATCGACATGAGTACAAGTGCAAAAGAAAGCTAAATGTCAAGATTACATGGAAATACTCCAATTTGCCACTTGTACAATACTCACTGATCCTGTTGTTGGTTAACCATTTACACTGGTTGATTAGTGAGATGGTGACCAATCTCAAAGTGGTTGAATTACCGCTTGAAGTAGCTTGTACTATTACTGAGCTTAATCGTGTTTTTATGGTTTGTTCATGCAATGGTTAAACTAAAAGAATCTCATTTCAATGGATGATGGTGATTGTACAATGTATGACTGCCAAAAAGGGCAGTCTTAGTTTAAAACTATGATTTAATTGCACATCATATGGTGGACGTTGTGTTTGGAGGGATCAAAAATGCAACAGATATTTAACCATTGTTTATTCTAACGTAGCTACTGTAAAATAAATGCAAATGCTTCAGTTTACATGAATACGATTGTAAGACAAATCCCGATTTCAAAAGTATCGACAGTTGATAAATATTTAAAATTCAAATTTGATGGATTTATCTAGTACAAAGTTTTCAACTTCAGCAGCTTTGACTCGAGAGTTGTTTAATCAACTGACAGTTACTATGCATATCTACATCTGTCGAATCGGCTACAAATAATTGATTCATGCAGTGAGTGAATCACGTGGTATTGATTTCACTCACTCTTCAGAAATTTCCAAATTGAATTAGCTTGATGTATTCAGACCATAAATACCTATACACATACTCGAGATTAAATGCAGCCACCACCTATTCCACAATCTACCTTTCGTGGTATGGTGGTTCGTATGCGTGAAGAGGTATACTATTCTACTGCTACCTGCATATTTACCAACCTTCTCACCAAGTTCGCTTTATTATATCTATCATTTAGCAAACTGGTCTGGAACGCGTTTATGAGCATCACCATCAACATCCAGTACCACCTACAACCAACAAACCTCATGCAGTACATTCCGAAAATAAAGTAAAGAATGCAGACAAAATGCCACGGTTTAAAGCACAGTCCCTTCCCATGTTGTCCAATTCTGACGCCTCTGCACACCAGATCCGCCATCCTCAACATGTGTCCCGTCAGACTGGATTTGGAATAGATGTACGTCCACCATCTGCATCTTCTAACATACATTCAAATCGAGATTCAAAACCATCTGTAGGTCACCATACCACTCTTGGTTCAGAATCACACCTGAAAAGTATAAACCGTCGTCCAGGTTCATCTTCCATAAACCATAGAGCCAAACCAAATACAAAGCCAGGCATTTCGTTGAGTGACATACCAACAAAAACTGCAGTTAATTTAGTTGAAACCGCATTGGAAATCAATGGATCCAGTTCAAAAAGTACAATTCGGTCGCGTCCTGGTTCGCAGGGCACTCGTAAACTCTCTATGGATAGCCAGAGTGAACTAGTACCACCCCACAATAAGGTCATACCTACAAGCAAAAGCGTTTCAAAATTGGACGCTGTTTTGCATTATGGTTCTGAGGATGAAAGTGATGTGAACAATAAGGATCATGATCGTCACCATATGTCCAATCGTCGTGCTTCTAACCAGTCTGGTGATGCTCAAGCAGATAAACATTTTACTAGAAGTCGTCCACAGAGTGCTAAAAAGCCTTATTATCCACCACCAGAACTACCTTTATGGAATAGCTCAACAAAATATGCTGCTGGCTCTGAAGAAAATATAGAAAAGCTGTTACCACCAACACTTGAAAGCAGTGATCTGTCCAAGCTATCTGGATCACAAAACCAACTATATCAAGGTCGTCCTCAACTTGTTGGAATGTTTAATTCTCGTAAAGGAAATTTCTCCAGCAAAACAAGTGCTATTTCCAAGAGCGTACCACTTTTAACCAACCTAGACACTCTGCAATCCATACCAGATTTGGTGAGCATCCAAGAAAAAATGAGTGGACTTGAAGACTCTATGAATGCATCCATGTCTACCATATACACTGCATCCTCTCGATTTGATCAGCGATCCGATACACAGCAAGTTGGAAGGTATCGAGCCACGCCCCTGCAGTGGGATATCTACTCTCGTCTTTGTCCATCCAAAGACGAAAAAGAGTCTCCTACCTATATCCCATTTACAGAATCACTATTTAGGATTTCCCAGGCCTATCATATTACTAACCATACATTGGTTCAGCAAGATATGGCCAAATGTATCAACAAAATATGCGCATTGTATTCAGTAGTACGCACCAAATTTTATCGTAACGAACGCATTGTAGACGCGGATATAGAGGGTATACTTGATCCACGAACATGGCAGGAGCTTCCTTTAGATGCGTTTTTTGACGTTGTTGAAGCAAGTGCACACCCACAACTCATGCGCCGAGATGTCGACAGCAACCAATGGATAGAAAGTGTTGCAGAATATGCACAGTCGTGGATGCAGCCAGTTGGAATCCGTATGCCTTTTAGCGTTTTAGCCATCAAGTATCCTCCATCATTGAAATCAAGTGACCATCCACTCAACCCACTTGGTCATACTGTGCTAGTATTTGCCGCTAGTATGGCAGTGGTAGACGAGATATCATTGACATGGATAGCTCATGAATGCATTCATCTCTATAATCAATGCTATCGTTTCTGCAAACTTGAAAAACCTCAATCTGACAAAATAGCATGCATCGATACTTACAAAACAATTGAAACTGAAGAATTTTTCGAATTTGCAAACGATTGTAAACGTGGAAAAAGCGACATGTCGTTTTGGCGTGATCAATGTATCGAAATAAAACAAGATTCAGTTGAGCGAAGTGAAAAGGATGATATCGAGGGACAACTAAAACGACTTGGTAAAGAAAAGTCTGCGCTAAGTAATTCAGTTGCAAGCTTAATTAAACGCAAGTCTGAACTTCAGACCGATTTGAAAGAACTACGATGTCAAAGAAGCGAGATCACCAAGAGTGAAAATGGGGAAGGAGTGATTTCAACTTATATGGATAGTACGGGAGGTGAAGTGATACAAATCACAAAAGAGGCAAAGGCGGCATTGATTAAAGCTGTTTTAGGCGATGATGCAGCCACAGACAATGTGATTGGATTGCTGGAAAAGCACGAAGTGCCCAAAGAAGCACAACATAAGATCAATGCAACCAAACTCACACTCGAGGGTTTTGCTGCAATCACAGAAGCAGATATCGAGCATCTCAACCTCATGTCGCGCGATAGACGTAAAATCATTGCCCTGGCAGAATTTGTTCGAAACCGTATTAAAGATTGTCTTCATGAACAAAGCAAGGTCAAGTTTGCACTTGAGCGAAAGATTGCCAAAGCAACACGCGATTTTGAAAGTGTCTCTGATGGTCTCAAATCTACCCAAAATCTGCTTGAATCAACTGATGATATGTCGATTCGACTAAATTATATTTTAAAACCACCCTACGTAGAAACAAAAATTGCACCCATTTCACTTTGTGCCTTGTATGAATCAAATTTACCTCTGCTCGAGTCGCTGGATGCATCATCAAAGTGGGGGTATGTTCCACTCACTGTTTCATCCGAAACGTTGGATAACTTACGCCGATTCAGGGTCAACTGGGCTATTTCAGTCAAGGCTCGTCAAAAACAAAGGCGCGCAGATGCCTCTGCTTCATCCGACAACGAAAGTTTACTAGAGTCTGAAAAATCTGACGATGATGATCAACCGTCTCGCGCAAACAGTCCGTTAAAATACTCTGCAGTAACCACATCAAACGAAGCAGTAGATGCCACAGTATTACCTGTTTTGGAATATCATAAGCGCTCAAAACCAAAATCGGTGGATGTAGTATGTCTTACTGCATTTTCCATACTTCTCAGACACATCTCTGGCAGTGAAAAGTATGTTTTAGGCGTATCTCAATCTTACCGTCGTCATGGTATTTTTGTCGGTCCATTGTCAGATACTGTGCCCATCAAAATAGATGTTAGTAAACAAGGTCTGACATTTGATTCCTTGTATGAATCGCTGCATAAAACTCTTCGTAATGCCAAGCGTCACGGTGTAGCCTGTACTAATATGCAAGTTGCTGAAGCGTTTCACCTATCAGAAAAGCTTGATGCAAGATTTGAGTTTATTAGCTTGCGCGAATCCAAAGAATGGATCAAGAAAGGGCTAACAGTGGCAGATATGCTTTGCTGTCGTGAGCCTTGTTTTCAAACCGATGAAATTAATACCAATCGACTCTGGTCGGACATTGAACACGATCAGTATGATGTTAAACTTGTGATTGTCGAAACTTCACATGGGCTTGAGGGTGGATTGAAGTTTATGAATAGTAGGTTTGATGAAGATACTATTCAAAAATGGATGACAAAATACATGTCCATATTAGATAGTATTGATTATGGACCTCGCAAGATTCTTGTTTCCTCACTAATTTCAAGGCAAGTTGAATGTAACAGATTGGTTTTTAAAATCAATCTTGTTGAATTTTAGCAACTCATATCTTTTAACTGGACACCGAGTTTTTAACTGACTATTGCTATTTTGTAGATTTTACCACACTATATGGCAAGGTGGAAGCACGGCAAATATCAATTCAACCGTGTCACTTTACAGCTCCTTGAGTAGCATAAACAGGCTCAATGGTATATAGACTATAAATTTTCATTTAAAATCAGTCGTATATTGCTTTTCTGCGTACAAAAATACAAGCAACATTTATCCTAGTTTGGACATGACTTGATCAAATAGATCCTCAATATTTTCTCCGGATTTTGATGAAACAGCCTTGAAATCAACGCTCCAGTCTTTTGCCTACATCAAACAAATAAAAAAATATTTAAATCCCAGTAATAGAATAAGTTCAGTCCAGCTGTATGACTTACGGTAAACATTGCATCTGGGATTTTAACAGCGGTTGCTTCCGAGTCATCCACTTTGGTACCAACCAAAATGATTTGTGCGTCGGGTGCAGCTCTATACAGTATAAGCGCAGACATGAGCGAGATGGTAAATAAGCCAAAACAAAAAAGCATGATTAAATCGACCATAATACCAGCATACCGTTTTAATTCGTTGTACCAAAACTCAATCTCTTGAAATGAGTTTTGACTTTGCATATCAAAACAAAGTAACGCTGCCTATACATATATAGTTATTCAATAAGCATGCATTAAAACTATTTGCTAAATCAAGGCCAGTTTGGTCAGATCCAAGTATTTCTAAAAACATGTGCTGATTGAATGCAAAAACGTACATTGATATCAGAGTAAAACTGGTCTAAAAGTGTTCGATACCTTTCATGGCCTCCACAGCACCAAATCTGTAGCGAGTATTTTTTGCTGGGATGAATATACATTGCACCAGTATCAAAGTTTAAATTAGTGGCGATCATTCCAGTGGTGAGTTTGAGCGATGATAAGACATAAGTTTGTACTTTTCGTTTGTGTTTTTGATATATAGGTCAGCACCATAGGTCTGCAGGTAGTCTGTCGAAAAAGTATTGTTGATGTATCTAGATATATGTTGAATTTAGATGTGGTTGAAATATATTGCATCTAAACGAGTCTTGGTTTATTATATCTGGTCAGACTGGATAGAAATACCTTTGCACTAATGCAGACTTGCCACATCCTGCTGACCCAACAACCACTACTTTTTTAAAACCACTTGAGAAGCCATGCGCAACAGTCATTTTCCCAGTACCAGTTCAAAAGTATTTGTATTAAGCGGAGAAAGTCGAGTTTGGCACAAATCTCAAGCTTTCTGGTTCCAGTGGTTCCAGCAATCCTCGAGTATTATTCTATTGATTTTTAAATTGCATACAATTGACTCTTGTAAGCTAATGCAGCAAAATGGGTCGAGCATACGAATAATGTGTTTATATTATAACAATTTCAAATCTTGACATGTTTTGTAAACTTTACTCTGGTTTACATCAATCGTATTCCATTTCGCACAATCTAGTTTAGAATGACAGATGCCAAAGCCCAGACTTGCTTGAAAAAAAGATGGAATCCATCTGATTTGCTGAATCTGTCAGACAAACTTCTGCTGGCTGGATCCTCATTATCGCGGTCGCCATCGCCAATATACAGCAGCAACGCATTGCATCCTAGCCATTCCTACCCACCGCTTTCAAAAAATACAGACCATACTAATGATTTGCATATTACATCTACAACAAAAGACCACGGTGCAATCGGGCTAGATAAACACATAGTTATCCCATACCCACCTACGCCAACAATTCATTCCACTCTGCATGATTCGCCCCATTTCAAAAATGTGACATGTCACCATCATAATGCGTTGCGTACTCATTTATGCAAATGTTTAGTGCTCGATAATAATGTGGGTGCTAAATCGCACATAATACAACCCGACGTATCCGATATTGAAATTGACTCGGAAAAGTTGTTTTCGCTTACAACCCGGTTTCTAGAAAAATACCGCATTGTAGGACCGACATCAAGCAGCTATTTGACTCCAAATATAATCGGGGTTGAATCTTTTCCAGTTACGAATCAAAATGAGCCGTTCCAACCCATCGAATCTGATATGGCACAGATTCAGCTACACAAGGCATTTATGAAATTTGCCTCTCAATGTATATCAAATGGATTGCATTTTCAATCTAGTGCATCTAAAAATCAAAAGCCAGTTTTGACATCCAGTCGACCTATTGATAGCTTATTGGCAGAAACAGGAACAGGACCTACTTCAGGCGCGTCCTTGACCCAAACTGGACCACTTCCCGCCAATAAAATCAACAAAACGCCGCATCTTCCAAAGCTGAATATAAAAAATGAACCGTCTACATTGCCTAGTCATACCAATAAGCAAATTCTCCAGAAAAGAATCACAGCAGTGCATGAAATGTCTTTGGCAGAGGCAGATGCAGTGCGAGATTTTTTAAGTGTCACGACACCATTCAAGGAATTACGAGCAGAAAACGCACGTACTTTAGCAGATTGGGTTCTTGAAAACCACGGTAAAGAACCCATATGGAACTCCAAAGCTTTTTCAGTAAAAAAATACATTATGCTGTATGTTAAAGATCAATCAGCAGCTGAACGTGCATTACTTCAACGACAACGTACTGTTAAATCAAAAGTTGCCAGCATTAAACAGTGTGCTAAAAAATTGGATCCAACTTCTGAAATTCGAGCTAGTACTCAATCCATTCATTCTTTTTCTCGGCGAAAAAGCAATTCATTTGGCGAAAAAAAATGGTCCGACTCGCATCAACGTAATGTGTTTTTGATGGAACATCCAGAAACCAACCAACCCTTTAAAAAAAATGGATTCGAGCGCACACCCGAAGATATCAAAATACTGTTCAATGCCATGCGTGGCATCAAGGCATTCAATGATCTTAGTGATTTTATTCTTGGTCAATTATGTGGAGTAATCAAATATCAAGAGTATGAAACAGATCGAGCAGTGTTTAAACAAGGCGATCAGGGTACTGCTTGGTATATTATCTTGTCTGGATTGTGTAGCGTGCAAATTTCCAAAACTGGTAGAATTGAAGATAGTTTTTCTGTAGCAACACTGGGTGCAGGGCAAGTAATATACTTTGCAAGTTTGTTTAGGACTTAGATTAACAGTTTCTACCCAAATCTGAATGATTTAGAAGTGGATTTGGCGATCTGGCATTGGTCAATGATAAGCCACGAGCAGCCACAATCCTTACATTGTCCTATTCTGAGCTTGTATCTGTTGAAAAGGTAGTATTTGGTTCTAGACTATTAACATCAAAACAGTCCTTCACCAGTTTAAAATACCCTACTGATATCTTGTTATTATTCTATAGACGGATTACAATCGCATCATCAAGTTTATCCATGAAAAGGAGATGAAGGAAAAGATTTACTTTTTGCGAAAAGTACCTGCTTTTTCCGAATGGACAACATCGCAGCTACGACAAATTGGACAGCTTATTATTTGGCGAAAATACGCACCAGGGACTGTAATCCACGCACAAGGTGAATTGATTGATTTGAATTTGGATGTATATTAGACTTGTCATTGAATCTGGCAGATTAAAGTTTGGGTTTAATGATGCATACCATGCAGGTGAAAAGTTTACCGAGTTCCACACTATAAAATCAGGTGTATGCCATGTTTACCAAGACCTGCACATTTCAAACACTAAACTCAAAGTAAAAGTTGGTACGCTTGTTCAACTCGAGTATTTTGGCGAGGAAGGTGTCATGTGGGATGAAGTAAAGGGCGAAGATGAAAAGGAGCACATTTCATATGCGAATTCGACCATTATTGCTGGAGATGAGCATCCATCTGGGGTAGAAGTTGCATCAATTACTTGCTTTGATGCTCGCATACGATTCAGGAATGATCTTACTCGTAACCCCATTCATGACAAGACGAGTTTCGAATTGTTTCATTTGTACCAGAATGACGTGAAGCAGAAGATTTGGAATCGTGAGAAATTGGCGACAATGGATCGCATTATTCGGGAGCGATTTAAAGATCCAAACATGTCTGTGAGTAAATGGAAAACTGAACTGGCCAGAAAAAAGAAGGTTTGGAAAATATAGCAGAATGATATGTTTTTATAATGCAATAAAGTTTTACATTGCTGCCCAATGCATTCGTGCCATCAGGAACAATAGTTGTAAATCCATGTTTCAACTTTAAACACTTTGCTATTTTAGCACATTCGGCTGTAGTGGCGATGTGGGTATTTGGCTATGGTTCTCTCATATGGAAAGTTGGTAGGTTTTGAACATGAGTGTGCTGTAAATTAGGACTTGAAGGGATTGACATGGTAGGCTTACAATGCAGGAGCCATTCAATGTTGTATCAATAGACTTTCCCATAGAAAAGCAGGTGCATGGACGCATATCAGGATATGTTCGTCGATTTTGGCAAGGCTCTGCAGACCATCGAGGCACACCAGAAACTCCAGGAAGAGTATTGACACTTATTCCATATGACGAATGGCACAGTCAGTTTCGTGATAGCGATCCACATCCAGCAGAATCAGTTTGGGGTGTTTGTTACAAAGTGCCTGATGATCAAGCTGACAAAGTAAGAAAGCATTTGGATTATCGAGAGAAAAACGGATATGATGCACTGCATATTCAGGTGTTGGATAAGGAAGAACAGGTGTTGGTCGAGGATGCATTGCTGTATTTGGGAACCACAATGAATGAGATGTTTCTTGGACCAGGCAAATGCATCGAGGATATTGCTCAGCATATTTTTGAATCTGCTGGTGAGAGTGGTGATAACAAGAGCTATTTGTATGAGCTAGACGACGCACTACGGGACAGATTCGGTGTGTGTGATCAGCACATATGTGATTTGGCAAGACTCGTCCGCGCATTAGATAGCAAGCCTCCTAAGCCATGCACGGGCAATCACTCTTCCAAACCAATCAAGATGGCCTTGTAGAAATCTAATGAATTTATTGTTACAAGATTTGGTTGAACCTGTGCTATGCTACAGCTGGTGATAAAAGGCATGAGAATGGATATTAAAATTGTCAGCAATCATCATCCTTGATGATATTGTTTTGCAAATATCGGTAGATTGTTGATTTGAATGAGAGTATTGATCGTGTCTTGTACTAGGACGACAATCCGGCTTGTTGGCATGTCCAGTTTGATGAACGATCTGAAGCGTTTCGCCTATAAAGTCTACATTAATCTAAACCAATCTGCAGTTTTACAAATAATTTGCATTGAAATGCTGCTGCTTGATTGACACCATCAGAATGTCCATTAAACATGGCAAGATGGATTACTAACAATTTTTCATTTTATTCTGTTTCCGTTCTTATCTCCATTGTCGCTAGCTGTGATTTTACTCAGTATCTTCATCATCGTCATCATCAGACTCATCTGATGTGGGCCAATCATCCATATCAGGCTTGGCCATTGATTCAGCACGAGTAAGAACCTTTTCAGCACCTTCCGAATCACCTCGTCCAATTTTGCGCAAATACGATCGTCGTTGTCGCTCATTCAACTTTTCAATTAAAACTTGCTGCTCTTGAGTTTCCCGCACCACTTGATCATTTGTTTTTTCAACATTAGCACCAACAAGTTGATGAACTTGCTGGCACTTGGCGCAGCAGTTTTTCTCGGATCCACACGATTTGCAAATGACGTGGTATGCATCGACTACTGTTTTCCGCAGACAAATAGTACTGCATAAATGATTGAGCAGTAAAGTTGAAAAAAACACATGTAAAAAGCTTGTTAGTACATTACAGTTGCTGACATTTAAATTTTCGAGTGTAGCAAGTAGATAATTTAGCCATCATTCAAACGATCATGCATAGATACAAGTTGAAAGCCATACCATTTTTTTGGCTGGGTTAATGGTTTATACTTGTTTATGCTTTTTTTCCATTGAATGATATCCAGACATCGTTGACAAACACCTTGAACTGGTAAATGAGAAATTTTGATAGCGGCAGGGGAGAATCTGTTTGTGGTAAAGGCAAAAGAGTTCTGATGCCGTTGTGCACCCTTCTTGGTTCCTCGTTTTCCTTTTGCACTAGATACATTCATGATTAGAGTGAGTTGAATATGATGAGATGCCACAGAACAATGTTAAAAAAGAAATGCTGATTGGAAAAAAAACTAACAGGTTAAAAATATGGCCAAAAATAAACTCGGCTCGTTTGTAGCTAAAAATTCAAGTTTTGCCCAATTCAAACGATTGGATGCAAACGAGTGTAGGACAACAGAGACGGACTCCAGTTAAGCCAGCCCATGGCAAGGAGTTTGATGAGCGACTGTCTGAAATCAGCAGTCCATTGTCTTATTCAAGCGATACCCATACTCAGAAGCATGTAGCACATATGAATTCATTCAACCCTGCACAGTCCAGTTTAGCTATGAGTGGATTATTACCATCCCAGCCAAGTGTTCAGAAGCGACCGAGTGCTTCATGGAGGCAATTGTTTAAGCAAAGGTGTATGGATAGAATCCGAAGAGATCGAGCACAAGTGATCTGGAATAGGCGGTTTGGAAATGCAAGTTCTGCAGGATCGACAATCAACACAGATACAGTCATGTCTGATTCAATCCATTCCAACTCTGACCATAAAACTGCAAATGCTTTGATAGAACAGGATAATAATGATGTAAAGCTAGAGTATGGATCAGGATATATAAAGAAGCTTTATTTAGATTGCTAATTTATTTGTAAAACCAATAGATCAAGCAAGCACTGTTTTCTGAAATGGAACAGCTATTTAAAGAATCTGCAATGAATGATATAAATGCTGATAATGCATGGATTTTTGAAAGTGAGCTGTTGAATGAACTGCAGAATCAAAAAGGTACGATATTTTTATAAATGTAAATCAGTCATGGATGTTGCAGATAGATTCAATTATGTTTTGATGTATCTAATTATAGCTCAAGAAGAAATGATGCTTTTTGATGAACATGGATTGGAGATGCCTTTTGAGTATCTGATATGCCCAGTATGTCAACACCCCTCGCTCGCGACGAATCAAGAGTGTATTGATTGCACAGGATGTAATCTCAGTATAAAGGTAATGATTATGAATGAATCCAGACTGAAACCAATACTAAAGTGGAGTATTTAGCGTCATACGCCCAGTCTAGCAGTATTTCATGCAGAACTTGAACATCTATCATACCAACACAAGTGAGTTTTTAACAGATTGTGATTGTAATTTAATAAACTAACATGAGATGAACAGACAATTTTGTCATGGAATTCTTCATGCAGGATTCAATGACGAAACTGGAATGTTTTTAATGTGCACGCATTGTGACGAAATGATTATTCTGTAAAAACAAAATAAACATTTTCAAGTTCATTTTATAACGAAAGCTTGAAAATTTTCTTTTGATTTTCTTTCAAGTCGAAACTCACATTAGAAGACTCGAGGATCTGAAATGTCCAATCGGGCCATTGCCATGAACTCTCTTAAAGCTCTTAAATCGATTAGAGCAAAAGAGCAACTTATTAAACAGCAAATGTCAACACCAGATGATGCTTGTGGTCTGAATGTCACTGAATTATCTGCTCATCTTTACACTGCTGGTAATCCTTCAAGCAAAACATCCAAACGTCGCAAACCAGGAACTCCCGCTTATTCTGAAGAAACTGCTGTTGTTGATACTGAAAACAACTTGAAAACAGTCTTGTCTTGTAATGTTTCTACTTCCTTGAATCCAATGACTGAAACAAGTCCTTTGCAGTCAGGCAGTCCAAGGTAATTGAAATTTATAATTTCCTATACGATAGTATAGGAAATTGCTATCAGTATCTGGCACTGTCCAGCTGTTGTACAATGTTCGAGTCTTATTCTACAACATGGTCTAATCTGCTGTTTTCGTGCATCCTTACAAAGGGAGGACAATGAAAAGATCACTCATGTCTTGTCAGAAGCTAGCAACTCAAACCAGTCATCTGAGTTTCTGGATGAAGATACCGAATCTGTTGTCAGCGAGGATGAAGAAGACGCTGAAGACTACTGTCGAGGTAACCATCATTGCCATATATTGTGTATTCATTGCATCTTTACTATTTTAATGGCCACGCACTAACGAGTGGTGTGTTTTAGGCGGATATCATCCAGTCTGCATTGGTGACACATATCTTGATGGTCGCTACATTGTTTTGCGTAAGCTTGGCTGGGGTCATTTTTCCACCGTCTGGCTCGCCAAAGACACCAAGTATGGTTCGCATTGTTTTCGAGATAAAAGTGTGCTCTTGTCTAATACTTGATTTGTATCCAATTTTGATTGAATTGACTAGATATTCTCGACCAGTCGCTCTCAAGATTGTGAGATCTGCTTCAAATTACACTGAAGCAGCCATTGATGAAATTAAACTGTTAGAAAAAGTCGTCAAGGCCAATCGAAACGATCCACATCGTCGCTATATTGTGGAACTATGCGATTCTTTCAAGGTTAAAGGTCCACATGGAACTCGTACGTATTTTTTAAATGACTGATTTCATCAGGTACAGAATGTTTAATTCTGGATATACTTACATGTGTTTGATTCTACTCTACAACCAGACATTGTCATGGCATTCGAGGTTCTTGGTCCTAATTTATGGAATATGATTCGAAGATATCATCGTCGTGGTATCCCCATTGATATTGTGAAACGCATTACCAAGCAGGTTGTGATGGGTTTAGATTATCTACATTCCGAGTGTGGTATTATCCATACTGATTTAAAACCAGAGGTATGTTGGTATTCAAGCCATACGTACTGAGCGATCGGCTAATTGTGAATTTATATTATTTGTTGCACTAGAATATTTTAATTGCCATTGATGTGTCTGAGACCATGCGACAGCTTGGACTTCATGATCTAAACAGTGATCCTTTGTCCCAATCTCCAGTCAAACAGCTCGACACACTCTCTCCACATAGTGCTACCGCTTCTCAGCCATCATCTTGCTCCACTCTGCCTCCACAATCTCCACTTAAAAATACTGCAAACAATGATTTGGATTCCAACAAATCTGCGAATCAAAACCCATTGGCAAAAGATCAAAAGAAAATGGTCAAGAAGCAGGCGTTGAAGCGTGGCTTACCAGAATCCACCGAATCACTTGTATCTCTACCTACTTTTGGTAATGGATTCGGCACAGCTTCATCTGAAAAGTACTATAAAGGATCCCCGACTGATACCCATGAGTCATCCCATCCTCAAAATATAATGCCCAGTCATGATATAAACAATGATGATGCTAGTGAAAGTGTAACTTCGAGCATTTTTGAAAATAACGACTTTGAGGATCATTACACTTGCAACGGTGATGCTGAGGTGGCACGAGCTACTTTACCGCCATCACCACCATCTAATCCATTGTTGGGAGTTCGTGCACTAAAAGATACTGGATCCATTCGAGGAAATCAGGACAGCCGTACATTTCATCCTGAATCATCTGGATCTGCCATGTCTAGTATTGCCAACAGTCTCAATCTAGATGAGAATCAACCCCGTTTTTTGCATGGAAAGAATACGCAAGTATTGGTTTTAAATGATCGAGTCAATCCATTTAAATCGTATTTATTAATCTGTATTCTAAACTACTTGATGTATAGTGAGGTTTTGGAGAAAACTCTAAGTGACATCAGTCTATTAGATGTGTATGAAGTACATGGCTCAAGTCGACTACCGTCATTGTCCGTATCTGATCAACACTGTGTTGATACCAACCCAGTTTCTTTGTCGGGTGGTGCGTGCTCTTCATCCGTGCAAGACATACCATATAGACAAGGTGCGCATTCTCCCAAACAAGCTGATGATTCAGAAGATCAACTGATGGATATTGGTTCCACTCATGAATCGGTTGATCGAAAAAGAAGAAGAAATGAGTCCAAGACAGAGGCAAACAGAAGAGCTGATCGTAGTGTAATTGTAAGAATTCAAGCCATGTTGCTTGTAAAGAGTGTGATTTAACCTTTTATTTGTTTGGATACAGGTTAAGCTAGCTGATTTAGGAAATGCATGCTGGGTAAACCATCATTTTACTAGCGATATTCAAACTAGACAGTACCGATCACCAGAAGTCATCATTGGTGCACACTATGACACAAGTGCAGACATATGGAGTCTTGGATGCATTCTTTTTGAACTGCTTACTGGTGACTATCTGTTTGATCCACAGGCGGGATCGCGATACACAAAAGATGATGGTAAGCAGTGTTTTACAGATTGAATTTGACATTGTACTTATATTTTATTTGTGACTAGATCATGCTGCTCAGATTGTAGAGCTTCTTGGTAATTTTCCAAAAAATATGGCTTTATCGGGAAAGTACAGTAGCAATTTATTTACCAGAAAAGGTGCGTATTGGGTCGAGTATACACTATTGATACGACCAAACTTGTCCATAATTCATATGTCCTATCATTGCATTTAACATGTAATCCTGTATAGGTGAGTTGCGTCACATTCACAAACTAAGATTCTGGAGACTACAAGACGTATTGCACGAAAAGTATCATTTTTCAGTGGCAGATGCTACTGCTATTTCATCTTTTATTCTACCCATGCTGGAAATCAATCCTTTAAAAAGGTAAAGCATCAACTACTCTTTGAAATTGATGAATCTAGTTGTACATTTGCCAACTACTATTTGATTACTACTATTTAGAGCGACAGCTGCGGAGCTACTCAGACACGAATGGCTGAAAGATGTGACCATTTGAGTCACTGTTGCATCCACGTAAATGAAACACTAAATAGCGGTGCCAAAATACATAATAAACAGCCAATCTCATGAAATGATTGGTACCAGTTTGCTGGACAACGTTGCGTCCTCTAAATTCCTCGACAAAGTCACTGGTCTTTGTGCTCATTTTTGTACAAAAAACTGAATGAATGTTTAAAGCAGTGTTCCAGTAATTCCACACGACACCTGTATAAACTCGTGCGTTCTAGTCCAAGATTGCACAGTGTTGCTTCGATGCCATTCATCAACTATTTAATGTGTAGCAAGAATTGAAGATTAAACAAGTGAGATTTACTCGACTTGCGATATGAACATTCGTTCAACTAGCGTTTCATTTTACGTGAATACAGCAGTAAAACCAATATGAATAAGTTTAGAATGAAATAACAAGTCAATCTATTAAACAACTCGATTTAAAAGACTGAACATGAGTTGGTAATGACAAACTCATCTTGAAAACAACCGAGTTTCAAAGTTTTCATTTTTACAGAATTGTCAGCAGATTCAATGACTGACATGTCTGTTACAGAGACTGTGAGCTTGGACGGTATGTGTTCAATTCAGTAGAGTTGGATCGAATCTACAACTAATTCATAAACAGTTCTTTCATTGACGAATGATGCTCGTAGCACATATGGACTGCGTCAACAGGATTATCAGCGATACAGGTGATTCATCTCACCCTTCACTTATCCACTGGATTATTTTGACTTGCTGATGAGTGTTGTATTAGAGAATACTGTGCTCGTAGAATTCGTCGAGTTAGGAAGAATACTGACATGATTCAAGGAAAGAAGCGTTATGAAAAGAAGCCTGTTACACCAACCTCGTTGGTGGATCCAAGGTATGTCCTAGACAACTGCAGTTTGTATTTCATTACATCTTTCAAAGTATATGAATTGATAACAGTCTTTTATTCGTACTGGTAACCATCAATCCTAACTTGTAACTTCAAACCTGGCTAGATCATTGCAGATCTTGTTATTTGAAGCCGAGAGATCTTGGGCATATGCAATGCAACTCAAGGCTGATTCTCAGTATGAACCTCGAAAAAAACATCATTCAATTAAACGACTTTGTAGAGCAGTTTCTTCTGCTAATCAGTTGCATGAACTATGTCAATTGGAATCCATTGATCATCAAACCTCACTTGAAACTCAGGTAATGCAGTTTATTCAAATGTTGGGTCTTGACGTATATTTAACATGTGCTGGATTGATTTGAAAACAAGGCGTATGCTTTAAGACTGGCTGCGTATGTTCATTTTGAACGTCAAGAATGGCAATCTGCTCTGGATGTGTTTGCTTCATCTCGGTAATGCTTCTGATATCGTTGTTTTGGATAAATGTGTACTATTTGATACCAACTTTTATTGTACATGATCACCTGGTGTTTATAAATAGATCTATATATGATAAGCTAGCGCATGTTGCTGTTACTGCATCGCATGCAACACTCTGTCAAGCAGCTATGGATGAGATTGATCCAAATATCCGATACTGTGCTTACAATCTCAAGTTCAAAGGCAATCAAACCGATGATATTGAGTCGCTTCTTGAGCTGCGTAAAACAAGCGGTGGTCCAGGAAACGATCTTCTCAGTGCCAAAATTGACTTGCTTGTCACAGAACGCATGCACGTTAAAGCAAGAGCCATTCACACCATGGAGTGGCATGGATACAGCATGGATATTCATAATGAGGACCTTATGGCCATGATAATGGAAATGCAGGAAATTTCAGCCAAGATTAATGGTGAAGTTCAAGGCAATGGCATTGTTGTGGATGGACGTGTGGATGAATCTCAATTTGCTGGTATCATGGCCGAGTATGATAAGCTTTTAGGACTTGGATGGGATGCTGCCAAACTTTCTGAGCGCGACATCAAGGAAGATTTGGTTGCTGTTATGAAAGTCAAGTCATCCAAAAGCGATATGCATTCTGCAATGTTGAAGCTCATCAAAGAATACGTGACCTATACTCGACTAGAGCATACATTTGATCGTGATATTTTGCTTGAGCAGGCTACTTCTATGCGTCTTAAAAATCTTGTTCATTCCAGTGGTAGTGTTGAAAAGCGACCCAGTCAACGCCGCGAAGAGTTGATCCAGTTGGATATAACTATGCTTCAGGTATAAAATGATTGACATGGAAGCTCAATACGATTATTTGAACTGACCATCTTTACTTTTGATGCATTTAGGTTGTAAATGAAATGAAGGAGCTTGATATTATCGAGACTGATCTTGCACTAGGTCATCTTGTATCTTCAAAGGGATTTTTTGTAGTTGCTCAACGGTAAGTGCATGCAATTTAAATCTTGCACATTGTTTAATTGAATCCTATTAAAATCTGACCATAATTGACTCTTACAAACGTGTATAATACATTACAGTCTGGCGCACACGGCAGATATCTACACTGCAGATCAAAAATATGCCGAAGCTCTAGTTCTTTTAAACAAGGCAATGGAGCAGGTGCATCTTTCTCGAACATCGGTTGTAGAATTCAAACGAAAGATTATCAAGCACGACCAACAGATGGCAGTAAACATGACCAAATTGTTGGATGTTTTGAGCCAATCCATTTGTAATCGATCTTTGATTACCAAAGCAAAGGTTTATTTTGAGAATGATGACAAAGTGCCGTATGTTTCACTTTCAAAAACAGTTCAAGATATGTCAATTGGTACGCACAAGATCAACCAGATGGGCGTAGGTCGAGCGGAGCATATGAAGGTGTTTTTCCAGCCCAGTGAAGGGGTCATCCCAGTGGTTCAGAGTATTCCACCAGCATTTGAACCAGTTTCATTCAAGCCCATGTTTTATGATTTAGCATATTTAGGAATGGAGTTTCCACTGTGGAATATTTCAGAACTCGCGCAGGGAAGATCAAGAATGGATCGAATCACGCAAGAAATTGAAGGAGTGAATGCAGTGCAGACTGAGGATGTGTATATGGAGAGTACAAGGAGTGACGCAGAAAACAAGTCAGATTCTCCGTATAATTCTAGTGAAGCAACAGGCCAAGGACTGTTGGGAATGCTTGGAGGATTGTGGGGAGGACGCAAGTGAATGAATTGAAATAAAGTCGAGATTGGATTTTAAAGTTCGTCGCGGTTTACCAGAAAGTCGATTCGAGTTGCTGTCATGTCATCGACTACTCCACAAAAACTGCAGTTTAAAAAGAAACGTTCTACACATCCTTCATCGCCTACTACTGGTTCTAGCATTGGATCTCATACTGTATACAGCAGCATTCATGAACACAATGCATTCCTGATAGCCAAACCTTTGAATCCAGCAGTAACGAACATTCCAAGCGAACTCTCTCCCGTTTCTCCTACTGTCACCAATGTTACTACCAATAATGCCGCCAATGTTTCTATTAATCATACTATGAATAACACTGCTGTAAGCGCTGCTTCATCTTTTGCCAATGGGGTAGAAAAAGCCATACGTTACGTTGGATCACTTGATAGTATAAGAGGCGTTAGTGGTTTAAGCGCTTCCACAGTTCATAATGGCAACCAAGTCGTTGCTGATTCAGATTCATCTCCTACTACTATGGCTGCATCATCGCTATTCTCTTCCTTTTTAACTGGTGGTGATGGCAGCAATTTAAATTCTACTCAGAGCAATCCATCTACAGTTGGTGCCAGTCTATCTTCATATGTGTTTAGATCCATATCCAGTAGTTCAACTGCCAGTATCAATTCCTTTGATGATTCGTCTGCATCTCTTGTAGGAAATTCTTCTGCAGCGGCTGGACCACAAAGAATGAATCGTATCGACTCTGTGTCTGGCTCGGCTTCTGTTGCATCCACTGATATTCAGATGAATGCTGAGGATGAAGAAGATGAAATGTTGTTGGCTAGACTTGCTCATCACTCACGACAGCCATCCACTGATGTCAATTTGAGTCCAATCCACCATCACACTCAAGTCTTGCCCAACACAAGCAGTGGAACAGTCAGTGCTGCTGCTGCTTCGCTAGCTAGATCACATCAAGCTGCTGCTCATTGGCTTAGTACTCATGTTCAAATGAGTTTTGCTTCTGTCAAGGATTCGGTCTTGGGCTCAAAAGAACCCTCGACTACTGTAGATGAACATGGTATTGACTGGGACTTTTGGGGAAAGGTCATCAACGACTACGAGGGTCAACTGCGCAAGTTTCCTAGACAGTTTACTAAACGACTCCATCAAGGAATTCCAGAACCTATTCGAGGCATGATGTGGCAACTTATGACGAGTAGCAAGAGTGAGATGCTCGAGGAAGAGTACTTGCAGCTTCTTACTCGTCACACTCGTCATGAAAAGATCATTCAGAGAGATCTTGCCAGAACATTTCCCAATCATCCACACTTCAAGGATGCTACTGGACCCGGTCAAAATTCTTTATTTAATGTTTTAAAAGCTTATTCCATTTATGATCAAGAAATTGGATACTGTCAAGGTATCGCGTTTGTTGTTGGTCCGTTACTATTGAATATGCCCGAAGAACAGGCATTCTGTGTTCTTGTTCGAATGATGCGCGACTACGGGTTTCGGGATTTGTTTTCACCAAAAATGATTGGACTGCAGCAGAGAAACTATCAGTTTGATAAACTTATCGACGAGCAATTTCCTATTGTTGCAAAGCATTTGGAAAACCAAGATATCAAGTCAACCATGTATGCTTCACAATGGTAAGTTACATTTAAACTCGGTTGGCTTTGCATTTGAATTTTACTTGTGCACCACTAACTACATGACCCAACTCTGTATTCCATTACTTTTTTAACTTGTACAGGTTTATGACTCTGTTTGCTTATAGATTTCCACTAGACATGGTATTCAGAATTCTGGATATTGTTTTTGCAGAAGGTCCCGAGTCTGTCCTTCGTTTTGCTGTTGCACTCATCAAACACAATGCAGAAACCATCATCACGCTTGATTTTGAACCCCTTCTCGAGTTTCTTAAATCTGGGCTTTTTGATCAATATATCACAAACACCAACCAACTTGTAGCAGATGCATCTGCCATTCGCCTATCAAAATCTAAACTAGATAAATGGACTACAGAGTTTAACGAAATGATGTACAAACAATCTCCAGAAGTCATGGAGGCTGAACATGCCAAATCACAATATCGCCAACTTGTTGAAGAGTACAAAGTCTTGGAATCTAATTACGAAATTCTGAATAGAGAACATGTAGATCTTGCCAACCATCTCGGTGATGTCAGTGGTGATCGTGACATACACTGTGAGCGAGAAGAAGAGTTGGAGCAACAAGTAAAAGCTCTAAAACTGATTCTATCAACTGACCGAAAACATGCAGAAAACGAAGTGCGTAGCGAGATGAATAGATTAGCAGAGCGCAACAGTGATCTGGTCAGAGCCAACGCAGAACTACAAGATGACCTAGACGATATTACTGCACAATTGGCAGATACAAAATTACGGCTGGTACAAAGCGAGACAGATAAAGAAGAATTGAAAAAAAAGTTGGACAACTTGCGTAAGGCGTTAGGTGCTTGACTAGTTTTGGTTACTCTACAACCCTATTCACGTAAAATGAGACACTTTTGTATTTATCTTGCAATGACTGCGTCTATTCTACTTTGGAATAAACAATGGTTAAATATTTGTTGTACTTTCTACTAGACATTGCTTTTGACGTGCATTCTCCGTTCTTTCAGTGTTGGAATTGCTTGACAGACATTATTGTTTATTACACAAAGAATTTTCAGCAAGGTTTATTGGAATTCAAAAAATGTCTTTTGACGTATAAATTGATTAATGTGTCAAAAGATTCGAGGTAACCAAATACTTTCAAACTATAAATCTTTGGGTCAAAAGGTTTTGGTCAATTCCATTGATTATCGACTACACAAGTATGTTGTCAATCTGGTCGATTCATGTATTCAAGACATGTTCCAAACACCTGCGTTGTTATTTGATCCAGTCGGCAACGCGATCGTGTTCATTCATGGATTGTGAATTAAACTTTGGTCACCACTTGTGTCTTGTTATATTCCAAATGTCATCAGAATGTATTGACTTGTGCCATCTGTGTTTCAACTATTCGTGGTTGCTGCTTACATGCGTGCAAGGCAGAAAGTGAGCTACATAAAATACCAGAACAATCCACGGAAAACAATCACAAACGAGAGCAAGGAACGTTCCGATGGAATTTCTTTTTGATTATACATCATCCACTACCAATATCAATACTGGTTTCAATATCAACAAGTTTCAATATATCGGTTGTAAAACGATCATATTGATGCAGTATTGATCATCAAAATGGTGTTTTTTGAAGCCATTACACCATGACATTGACTCGACACAACTATTGCTGTAACAGAAACCAGTCTCTTGTAATGAATACACAATTTTATCGAGTATTTTCAATGATCAAGGTAGTACTCGATTCCATCCATTTCTCGATATTCTTACTCTGGTAATCGACAGGAGTACAGCCATTATCATCATATGGACAATATTCATCATCAGATTCTACACCACCAGCAATACACCAAATGAGACATGCTGTCTTGTGGAATTCTAGTGCGTTCCTGTTTGGTAGTCGAGTTGGATTGTTGTGAATGAAATACAATGTCATTTCACTGTTGGATTCGACTGTTTGTCGATTGTCAGTCCATCTCTTTTGCCTTGTTCTGCGGATAACTTTCAAATCTTCAATTGTCTCAATCCACTTCTTGTGCTTGTCACTTGTTGGATCATTGATCACCAGTTTGTCATCCACTACATCCACATATTGCTTTAGTTTACCAAATTGGTCATGGCAATTGATACACAACAACAGTCCGTTCTGTATTTGATGTTTCTGCGTCAAACCAGATCGTAGCAAGATGGATGGTTCGTTGTATGCCATTCCAATGTTCTTTTGGGATATGATGTGTGCTCCTTGCAAGGACAGCTTATCCCAGCAAAACAAGCAGACACTGTCTCTCTTCTCAACCGCCTTGTTCAAGTCCTTGTGCTGTAGCTCACTCACTTCTGCAACATAGTCCAGATCATCAGCAGAGTTGGTTCTTGATGTTGGGTTTGATGAAACTGGAGTGTGGCAGCTGGATGAATCGTTGTAGTCTTTGTGGAATGGCAGTATGTAATACCCAAACATGTCATCAATGAATGTACAATGATGTTCTGGGTCTGCCAACTGGATCTTGGTTGAGAATTCCTGCTGCTCTGCAAATTGGTTGGCAGTCAGCAGGTTGTGCAGTCGAGTGATGTGTGAGGTTTCTCCCTCTTGGATGATTCCCAAAAACAAACCTCGTTTGTTGTCATCCTGCCATTCAGACTTGACTCTCTGTGTTGGTATGGCTTGAGTGCTGATTTGGTAGTATTCATTCAACAGTTGTGTTGTTGCTGTCTTTGTTGTTTCAATATTCATTTGATGTTTTTTGACAAAAGAATGAAACTCGAACCAACCAAAATAATTGCAGTCAACAATCAAATTGGACAATATTCACCAATAATCTTTTAAACTCGTACAGTTTGTAGTGTTGTCATAAAAGTCATGGTTTGGCACATTTTCATCAAGTTACCAGTGAGTATCAACGAGTATCAACCAACAAAATTGGTCTCGTTGGTTGATACACTACTGATGCACTTGCATATGAAACTGTACGAGTTCAATCAATGTTTCTTGCACGGTTGTCAAATGTTCAGATGAAATCAATCTCATGGCAGGACACAAAATGTGACATTATCAAATAACAACCAATACTAAACAATTGGGTTACCACATGATGGCTCATTCGGAATACGAGTTGAATCCATTAGTGGTCATTGATACCATCAAGTGTATTGGCAAATACACAATGGTTTGTAATGGTAAATTGATTTCAAACACATCACCGCTCATTTATCACCGGATACATATTTGAAAGTATCCAATATCACTTGATACTGAATGTCCAAGTGTCTGCTCAGAGTTGCTCACAATATTGACGATATTACAACAACATGCTGATTCAAATTTGGAAAAAGTAACATTGGCTTGTTTAATCTTGAATTACTGAAATCAGATGGTTTACAATGATCCGATCATGTCAAATATAACCGATTGCAATTATTTTGGAATCATGTCAGATTATGACAATCTGTTCGAGTTGTTTGAGCCAATACAGTGTGATGGAGTGATGGAAATACTCGAAATACACACAATACAACTCTTGCAGCAGTGTATGAAACTATCAAGCATGACATGGTATGGCATGAAGGGTGTAGATTAGACTTGATAACAATGTGTACGATTTGGACTTTTAAATTCGGAAATAGCAGCTCTGTTCCAACATCACATTGATTGTAAATGTCGATGTTGTTTAACCTTGTACAAATGACCATTTCACATGCAACTTTAGCCTGATATCGAGTATTTTCAAATGAATGCAAGCTTGCGACACTCGCTTGACTCGTTTGGCTCGGATTCTGGTTGATATTTACAATATCGATGCAAAGTTGCATTCCAGAATGAATGTGTATAATATGATGTGGTCAATCGTTTGGTTTCATTGTTATCAGTCATTGACACCAGTGATTGCATTGATTGCAAATAGTAGTCCAAGTAATCATGCATAAACAAACACCAGATAGTCACTGATAAACTGATGGTATCCAATGTATACATGACACATTGTATAGTTCCATTTAATTGCCAGCAATGTGTGATTGGATTACTCGAGTCATCAATCAGTTTTCAAACAGTTTCAAGAACAATCAAGTCATGTCCAATAAACTGTCTGATGTGCAGGTGTTTTGGCATTGGTCCGTTGGTCCATTAGTACGATTGTTGGTTGTCAATTCGGACTTGTAAATGACAATTGATTCTTGATTATTGCATTGGTGTCCATATGTATCCATATGTGACTCATTGTATACGGAACAGGACTGACAAGTGTGTCTGAATTGATGACAGATGATACAGTCTATCCAACAAAAAGTAATACATTGATCGTGTCTGCATGGAAATAAGCTTCATAACTTCCACTTCTGAATGTATGAGAATCAACTTTCAAACAACAGATACGTCCAATGACTCTTGCAAATGCATTGATGGAGTGTTGTTGAATAATTCGAGTTTTTACAAATCAGCATCACTGGAAATAGTTACTGTTATTCAGACAGTCAGTTGTCCAGACATTACAGTTGTAATATTACACATTTTCCATTGTTGCAACGCTCAGATAGAAATGGCAAAATTAAAACAAGAGCATCCTTCAATATCAGTTTAGTCAAAACATTGGTACTTGTTTGTCTGTAGCCCAATATACTTATCAACTCCATGTCATTCATCAGATAATATTGTATAGATTTTGGCAGTGATATCGACAAGATAATCTGTACTAGGTCCAGTCGTATCCATATCCACAACTCACTCGTCCAATCCAATCTTTTCATCAAGACTATGCAAGAAATTCAACTGCATATAGTTTGTAACAATTCCATACACCGAGTTCAAATGACTAATCTCTGCTGCAACTTTACATCCAATCAAGTCCTGTGACATTTCCAGTCTCATGTCATCCTTGTTTGCTTCAGTAATATAAACTCTTTCTGCGATGTAAAACATTCAAAGTGACCATGAACCTTTAAGAAATCACCATCCAATCTTTTTCCACTTGTGTTTGGCCGTTTTGGGTAAAAACAGACAAATGATGAGTGGAGCAATCGAATAAAGTCCGAGACTCATTGCCTGATGTAACTGAACCAAAGCATGTTGTAGCAAACGACAAATAGTGTGAAATATTGAATTTGTTTTCTGGGATTGTTTTTGACGATTGATGTAACTAGTTTACAGCACAGGCTTGACCTGATTCCAACAAACATACATACAAGTGTTGAATCAGTGGGGGTTGACTTTGTTCTTTTCAAGTATTTGATCGAGTTGCTCTCATACTTTTTTGTTTAGAATGGGATATTTTAAAGTTCGATTCAGACAATGGCGACTCCAGTTGTGAGATATTTGATCCGACGTTGATTACAAGTTGCTGTAATTGTAATGAATAAATGATGATTTCCAGTATTTTGAACAAGAAATGGGCAGTATGGTTGTAAAGGAGGTCCTCGATCAGTCAGTCAAAGTGAGAGTTGGTCAGCACTGTAATAGCCAAGTCTTGATGATAACTCATTGTTTAATTTAAAGTCATCACATCTGTGCAGTCTTGTAGAAACTCTTGCGTTGTTTCACCCGAGTTTGATCCAGAGTTGTCATTTTTGTGGAATCGGTGTCGCAAAACGTAGCAAATCTATAGCTGATAATTCCAACAGCCATTCAAATTGAAATTCAGTTTTATAGTTTATATGAACAAACAAATATCATTTGAATGAGCCGGTGTTGTATGGTGCTATTGATATACTAGTAGCATGCTTTTGATCGTACTCGATAGCATAAATACAATACAAGACTCTACCTGTTGAATGACAACTTGCTTGGATCCAGTAAAACGACACTCTAGTTGTTTACTGTAATAGTCTGTCACTGTAGTTAGTGTGTTCAGTATATGCGA